CACACGACACAACCGCATCTCTTGTGCAAGCGCTTTTTCCTGGCCCCTCTTTGGTTTTAGTCCCCGCTCCTTCTAAATCTAAGGGTGCCTTAGCGGTTGCGAGCAACGGAGGGACGCCACTCTTCCTTGAGTTGTGCGCAGGCTCAGGTTTGCGCTCGGCCACCATCAAAGCCGCTCGCTTTGATGTTCTTGCTGTTGACTTTCACGGCAACAAAGCCAAGCCGCAGGTGCACGTTGTGGGCCTGGACCTCACTCTTCCAGCCTCCTGGGCCTACTTGCATAGCCGCGCCGTTGTGCACATCCATGCTTCGCCGCCAGCAGGAACTACGCAGATGGGTCGCGGGCGTTCTTTCGCGATTCCAAACATCCTTGGGGAGTGCCTGGCCTCTGCCCCGTGGAGTTGGCTCGCCTCCAGTCTGCCAACCGGAATTTTATTCAGCTTGCTGAGTTCTTGACGACCGCAGCTGGCCTCGGCATCGACTTTTCGGTCGAGCATCCTGCTCGTTCTTGGTTGTGGTCTTTGCCACCCTTCCTTGACCTTTCACGGGCAGCCACTCGAGTCTCCTTCTATCGGTGTCGAGACTTCATGCCTGGGTGCTGCGAGTTCACGCTGTTGACTTCTGCAAAGGACCTTTCTGTGTTACGCGGTCAGAGCCGCTCGGGAGCTGTGTCTCGCAAAGCCTTCTGTGCCGACAGTCCTAAGCGCGTGCCATGGTTCGCACTCGTCCCCTCTCTCCCTTGCCGAGACACGCACTTCGGCCCAGACCCAGCCTCGTGTGTCCAAGATGCCACCACTTCTGCCCGAGTTTGCCTACATGCAGCGCCTCGCCTGTGCAGACGCCCCGCCTTTGAACGAAAAACAGCAGTTGCGCTGTGCTTGGCAGGGAGTTCCTCAACACGCTCGCCTTTTGCGCTCATCTCTGTGCAAAGGGGGAAGCCGCGATGAGCCTCCTCTTTCCGAGTATGTTTTCGGCATTTTCCGCGAGCCAGTGCAGTTTGTGTATCAGGCTCTGTCCCTTCAACATCCTTTTGACTCTGCCCGCGCTCTTCCAGACCGGCTCGTCAACATCCTGTTCAGCACGCTGACAAGAGGCCCTCTGTGGGTCATGAAACAGAGGCTGACCGTCCTCAAGCGTTGGACTGCCTGGGCAAAAGAGCTCGAGCCGGCTGAGCTCAAGCTGCACGCTTCTTTGGCGCCATCTGTGCGCAAGGTCTTGTGAAGGGCAAGAGACTTCTTTTTGCTTCAACAGATCGCTCGCTCGGTGCAGTGGCCGGATTCGAAGCTATTCGATGACATCTGCGCGGGATTCCAGCTGTCGGGTGTCCCTGACCCGACGGGTATCTTTGAGCCCGACCACAAGCCCCCTCTTGCGATCGAGGCTCAGTTCTGGGATGTTTCTGATGCACTTAAGGCACAGTTGTGGTCTCGCGTGCGAGACCAACCGCCTCAGGATTATGATCAGGAGCTTGCCGACATCACCACGGGCGAAGCGAGTGCACCAGGGGGCAAAGGTTGGCTAGAGGGTCCTTTCACATGGGCTCAGCTTGAGGAGCACTTTGCCGGGCAGTGGATGCCTGCCGTTGTTTTGCGGTGTGGCAAAACAAGTGGCGGCCAATTGACGACTTGAGTGAGTCAAGACTGAACAAAGCGTGCGCATGACGTCCTGGGGCCAGCGGGAAACAATGGAGGCAAAGGTGCGGAAATGCTGCTCCACCAAAAGTGCTGAGGGGTCGGGCTTGGTGACACACCGGAAGTCGAGGACGACTTCGGTAGCCCCATTGGTCAGCCTCCCGTTACGGTGTGTTGCGCTGTGAGCTGGCGCAGGAACTTCATGCGTTTGGGGCCAGGCCAACTGCTTGATGACCATATGCCGCCGCAGCTTCAACCCCGGCCTCAGCAGCTTTGGCGCGCGCCTGCCCCTTGACCTGAAGCTTCAACAGCTTGTTGGAACGGGCGGCGGCCTTGGCAAATCTTTGCTTGTCTAACGTAACCCTGCGCCGTTTGCCACCTGCTGAGTCAATACCCAAATCGTGCCAGCACGTAGGATACGCGAGTCTTCAGGCCCAAGCTGCGCCGACAGCTTCTTCTCAAGTCACTACAACTTTCGATCTCAAGTCGGCGTACAAGCAGTTGCCGCTTGCGCCGTCAGAACAGAGAAAGGCAGTGATCATCCTGCGTCATCCTCCCGCATGCGAGCCCGTGGGCTACATTTGCAATACACTGCCATTCGGAGCGCACGCATCCGTTTCGCATTTCAATCGTGTGTCTGCCCGACTTAGAAGGATCATGCTTGAGATGGGGGTCATGTCCGCTCTCTACTACGACGCTTATCCTGTCGCGACACCCGAAGCCCTGGGCTTCAAGATTGCTGATGAGAAAGACAAACCTTCCGCCTCGAGATCGGAGACTTTTTAGGCGTTGTCATTGACATTTCGGACCCGGCGATGGCTGATGTCAAAGTGTGCAACAAGCCTTCAAGGTCGCCGGCCATCGCTCAAGCCATCGACGAGGTCCTCAACAGGGTATACGTTGTGCCCAGGGAGCTACCGTCCTTGTTCGGACGCTTGCAATTCGCTGATGCGCAGATCTTAGGCAGGATGGGTAAACTTGCGACGCATGACTTGAGGAGTCTTGAGAGGTCTGGTGCCTCTCTCATGTTAACCTGTCCTTCAACCATCGCGACGCGCTCCATCTCCTCCGGGAGAGGCTGACTGCTGGTCCGCCAAGGACGGTGACTGCTTCGCAAGCGTTGCAGCCGATCGTAATTTTTACGGACGGGTGCTTCGAGCCTGACTCTGATGTCCCAGCGACCATCGGGGGTGTCATGTTTGCGCCTTGTTCGTCGGGTGCTTTACAAGTGCAGGCCTTCGGGCCTTCGGGTCGATCGTCCCAGACATCTTGCTTCAGACCTGGCACGAGCATGGAAAGCGACACTTGATGATAGGACAGGTCGAGATGTTCGCAATCCTTGTTGCGAGGTCGTGTTGGTCGAGTTCCCTCAACTCGACCAGGGTGATCTACTTCGTGGACCACAGCGGAGTGCTTTCAGCCTGCATCAGCGGGGCATCCAAGGAATCTACATGGAGGAAGTTGCTGTGCGCTTTCGAGAAAGCCGACGAGCTTCCTGCACTTCAATGATTTAGCCGAGTCCCTTCGCATTCGAACATCTCGGACGGGCCGTCGAAGCACCTGGCACTTGTTGCCAAAACGCATTGCCCCCAGTGCGGAGAGCCAGTGCAGGACATACAGGCATGGCGGCGACACACCAAGGCCCATCACAAGGAGCAAATACCGACTTTGGAGGTCATAGGCAATTCAGTCACTTTGCTGTCTGCCAACTTCACAAGACCGTGCCCGTCGTGTGATGTTCACTTCCAGAAGTCAGCTAGAGAGCATAGGAAGAAGTGCCTCCCGCTACTCCAGCTCAGCCTCCGCCATGATGGGATCGCAAACACCATGGAGCCGGAACAGCAGTTGGCTCAGGTCTGGGGTCTCAGCTCTCAACTGGCGGGGGCACCAACCCCGATGAGACAGGGGAATGCAGCCAGATCAAGGACGAACCAAGGGCAGCCGCACAAGTTCAGGAAAGGACAAGGCAAGGGCAAGCAGACTCAGAGCAAGAGGGGACGAGAACAAGACGACGAGGCAGCAGACGACGAGCTGTGGATGGACCTCGATCAGCTCGACGAGGAGACGATCAGGCGCATCCTGCGAGTGCTGATCAAGTCAGCAACCAGGCACGAGCAGCAACTCACATCGCTCGAGTCGGACCGGAGCTTTGTGTTCTTCCTGGACACGGGCAATCACGGCCTCATCGGCATGATGATTCAGGCCAGCCAAGCTTGGCACCAAAAGTACGAAGCAGGCAGCGTAACCACATCGTTGCGAGCGACCCTATGGGGAGTCCTTCTCCTCGAGTGGAAGACCAGGCTCGAGAAGATCGAAACCGACACCCAGGCTCTCCAGACCGCGGAGGCGGCTCACTGGATCACGCGGTCTCCGCTCCAGTGGGCATACACAGAATGGAATGCAGAGCAGAAAAAGGCCCTTACGTCAAGCCGGGACAACTTGCCACACGAGGAAGCCAAGCGAGCAGTGAACAACCTGCTCAAGATCACGGCGAAGGACGACATCGTGCATCGCTTCCAAAGTCTCAAGCCGCTGAAACCAGACCTACAGGCCGAAGTGGTTGTGATGCTGCTAACCCTCACGCTTCGACAAAAGGGAGAAGAAATCCAGAAGGATCTGGATTTACTGGCAGACAACAGTGTGGGCAAAGGGGGCTAAGACTCCGCCGCGAAAGGGTCTCCAAAACCGCGCTCGCCAAGGAGCTGGAGAAACTTCGCTTGTGAGCGATGAGCGGACTCCGCCTCGTACTCAAGATTATGGTGACATGGCTTTGGGTGCCAAGCGGTCTCCGCTTCACCCACAAGTAAAAAATCCAGAAGATGCAAAACAACAGAGCATCTCGCAGTCCTTTAAGATGACCCAAAGGTCGTCCGCACCTTCCCCACTGTCCAACGGGATCATCTGCATTGAAGGGGGGGGATTAGCGCGATACTGTTCCAAAAGAGCAGGGGGTGGCGAGACGTCCCTCCAACAAAGCACTAAAGCCCGCCTACGAGCAGTGATCGCGCCCAGATGTGAACTGACATAACGGCACGTCCCGACATGAGGAAAGTGGCCTTTTAACACGGTCTCGAGCCAGGTGACGTCAGGTTGCCGAGGGCAATCAACAATGAGCTTCCTGAGACGAGGGCCGTTCTCCTTCAGGGTCTGTACCAACCGCTTCCGTTCGCGCCCGGAGGGGTCTTGAGAAAAGGTGTACCAAGCGTAGGGTTGGTCTCCAAACCCCGAAAAGGCGAAGGGCGATTCCGCAGCTCGTGACCTCGGGGTGATCATCAACATGCAGTGGTTGCCAGGCCACACGAAGACAAACCTGCTTTAATGGCTTGGGAGTGGTCCCAGCTGGGTGCGTGAGCTGGCGTGCAACCTGTCCTTAAGGGTCCTCCCCTGCAGGGTAGACAAGAGCGGAACGCTTTGCGTCACGTAAGAAGTCTTCCCAATGAATCCTTGTCTCCACCTCAGTCCAACCTTCCGCAACAAGCTGTTCACGAACGAGAGGAAGATCTTCTCGACTGAGCCAGTGTGTGAGTTGATTCCGGTACGTTCTGATGTAGATAGGGTGCACTGTGAAGCTGTTTTCAGATTCCAAACGCTGGATCAGCCGGACAAGAAGGCTCGCCGTCCTGTTTCGTGGCCGGCGTTTGCGCAACCACGTCCTCACGTTCATATTGTCTGTGACGTACAGAACTAGTTCGCCTGCCCATTCGTCCCTGCGATGGCAAGCTAGCACAACGAACGCGAGGAGCTCCATAACTGAGATGATGTCTGTCTCATCCCCTTCCTTGGCTAGCCTCCTCAGGCCTTCTCGGTACTGCTCCACTCGCTCCGCATGGAAGACTTTGGCCTTCCAGTCGACGGCTCCAATCCGCTCCAAAGTGGCATCCCCCCCCCGTGATTCGAGCGCGGGCGGTAACGCCTGGAAGAGCGAGTCGCTCGCGGATCGGGAGCAGCTTTTCAAAGACCGAGGTGAAACTGCATTGGAGTGGAGCCTTCAATTGCAGTCTAATGAAGTCCAGAGCATCCCAGAAATCCTCCCAACGGCGTTCTTCTTCGTCCGTACTCGAGGCTTCAACTTGCACGAGCGTGCTGCTAGTCCCTTTGGTCCCTTTGCTTCCTTTGCCCTGCAGGTTACCCTTCAGGAGGTGGTACAGGGTAGGCAGGTGCGGGGTGAGCGCGGGGCAGGCAACAGTCCAATACTGTGCACACGCAATCACGACATCCGTTGGAGGGCGGACTCACCAAGGAGGTACTTTGCTTTGATCCGCTTCGGCTCTGGGAGTCGTACCTCTTGTGAATCGAAATTCATATGCAATCCCCCATAGGAGCTGCGTCGTGGAAGGCTCCCCTTCCTCAGCCATTTTCTCGACATTGACCTCTTCGGGGCCCCACACAAGCTGCATGGTCTCGTCAAGCACGGCGAGAGAGTCGAACTCTCGGTTGCCCGCCATGGGTTCCACGACCACTGAGCCATTTGCACTCAAACGGGACAATGTCGTTGAACTTAGGCTCCATTGGTCGGAACGACCCATGGTGTGCCTTTGCAGCGGCACTCCAAGCAACAAACTCCCCTGGGGATCCTACCCAGCCAAAGGGCATGGCAAGGCTAAGGATGATGAGCCCTGCCAGCTTTACCGCGAACTCAGGGACATCTTTCGCTCGCAGGAAATGCCATTTGAAGGCGCGAGGGACATCTCTCTTTGCACACTTCTGGGGTATCCCAGGGTGTCTTGCTCTCCACCAGAGTGACTGCCGAGCGACGGCATGATGTCTGGGCTGTGGCGCCGGGGGGTGGTTAAATTTAGAGCCGGCCGCATTCTGCCGACGCATGTCATTGATGGGTCGGCCTTCGGCAGATATTGTCCTGTCTGGGTTCTGCTTCCGGACTAGTCCCAAAGGGCTCTCCGCAACTCCAGCACGATCCAGGAGATGACTGACCTTCCCGACATCAGGGTTGACAAACAAGGCCGCTCCATAGGCGGCATCCAGGCCTTCTGGAGAAGCTCCTCCTCGTAGCCGTAGACGGAACCATGGTTCTTCGCTTCCTCTCTACTGAGAGGTTTTTCCCTTCTGCTTGGAACTCCTTCCTTGGCACATGCTTGGAGGTACTCCTGATGTAATGGAGATATTCCTCTAAGGGCGTTCTGCTTCGCTCCTTCGAGGTGGTCCCCCAATTTTTTCACACGGGCCGCATTAAGGACCTGAACCGCGCCCTCAACTGTACCTGCAGAGGAGATCAGTTCAGCTCCTAAACGACCCGCTTGCTGTGCCTTTTCCACAGTGAAGGAGGATCTGCACAAGTCGAGATATTCGACTGCTTTCTCATACAAGGCTCCTCCAACTCTCTCTTCCTCTGCTTCAGCCAATTTTGGCATCGACCCGCCCACGCCGAGGGAGGGAGGGTGGGGAGCCGCAGGCTGAGGGGACGGCTCTGCTTCGGGCAGGCCGGAATCACCTCCAAGTACCCACTTACACCAACACGAGAGTGCTGCTCCCTCGGGGCCGGGCGCGGCTCGGGCAGCAAACTGCTCCAATCCAGCCCGTAGACACTCAGAGACGCACCACGTGTGCCGGCCAGCTGGACGTGGTCGCGGGATAAACCGCAAACGAAGGCCACGCAGGTGACGTGCGAGCAGAGCGGCTAGGGCTGGAACAAGCAAAAGTAAAGTTCCCGGAGAAACCACTTGGGGTGGCTCCCAGACAATCAAGGAGCTTAGCTCCATCTACGTTGTCGAATGCAAAACTCTCCAACCAGAGAATCCAGCAATCGGACGACAAGGTCGGACCCGGCTGAGATATAGCCCAAGTGCCCCAAGCTTGCTTACCGCTGTGCATCGCTGGCAACGGTCGAAGTGACACTGAGTCCAGGGCCCCCAGGGTTTGCGTCACTTGAGAGTCCATTTCTGAAACGGGCACAAACAAGGAAAACCGTCGAGGGTGCGTCTGGGCGGTAGCACCACACAGGCCGAGCTCAGCGGGCGGGCGTGCCGGGTCGCCAGCGTCGTCCTCCTCCACACCAGCCTTACAAGAAGTTTGGGGGCGGCGGCACCTGTATGATCTCCCAGTAGTTTCCTGCGTTTCCAGAAAGCCACCCCATCCTTCAACTTCGAGCTCGCGGATCACGCGTTCCCCTTGCGTAGCGATCTCAAGGAGCTGCTCAATCTGGGCAGGGGGGCACCTTGCGGTTCGCATGTGACCCCGATGGATAACCACAACCCCGTAGCTTTCCAGTGCTCCGGCACTCTTAACAGTGTCAACCTCGACCACCCCATGGTGAGAGAGACGCAACACCACAAGTACACGCCCCTGCATGAACCGCCGAGCAAACAACTGCAATACGCGAAAATCCTTCTCATGATCCGGGTAGATGCAATCATGCGCGTTGTGCCGCACGAAGGCTTCAGCGGTACTGATGTAGGGACTCGCATCCCCAAGATGTTGAAACGCAGCGCTGCTGTCCTCCCAAAGCTCCCGTCTTAAGTCTCTGGCCTTTTCCCATGCTGAAAGAAGATCTGGCTCGAAGGCAAGAGCAACGTGCAAACACAGGCATTGACGAGTCTCTTCCGCGCCTTCCCTCTCGAGCTGGAGTGCAACCCCTAGGTCTTCAGGGAGGTTCAGCTTGTCTTGGGCATCATAAGGATGTTGAGGGGCGGAACGCCTTCCCACAAGGGGTGACTGAAAGTCATCTGGGACCTACCGATCCCCCCGTCCCAAACAAACGCCCCAAAAGTGGCTTCCGGCTCATGGAGTGTCAAGCCAGCTTTGGCGCCGAGTGATGCCAGCACCTCCTGTGCCTCCTCTGCGAGTTGAGGGTGTCCGTAGTCAACTGCTTGGGTGAGCACCTCAGAAAGCTGAGCGGTTTTACCTTGCAATTCTGCATTGACGAAATGCGAAGCCACGTGTGAATGCAGATGATCACTGCAGCCTGAAATAGGATCCAGCCTCTTACTGGACAAGAGCTTCTCGAGATGGTCTTCCGCTGCAGGGCTTCGTCTGTACTCGCCTGCACCGAAGTCACTTCAGCTCCCTGAGAGAACCGCTGATGCCGAGGTTTCCAAGCTCCTGGTCGAGTTGAGTAACGGGCCCTTGGTAATCCTCAGGAACAGCCCAGCCTGCTTTGTCTTTGGCCTTGGCTTTGGGATGAGCTTTGGCTTTGCCTTGGGCGGTAGCGCCTGGCTCCACCTTGGAAGCCTGCTCTTCCTTGGCCTGCGCGCGGAGCTGGGCGACTCTCCCGTCAACCTCCTGTGGATTAATCTTTGGCCCGCTGCGCAGGCCCCCACGCCGGAGCACCTGCACAGCAGCCGTGTAGTCCAGTTTCGAGAGTTTCGGCAATGGCTCGTGCGCGTTAGGGCAAGAGCTCCGTTGGCAGCCGATGTGGCAGGCAGCGTCCCAACAAATGGGCTTTTTTTTGTTTTGGGGCACTGTGGGGCGTGCTGTATCGACCTCTTGACCGGCCTCGGCCGGACTGAGGCGCTTACCGGCGGGGTAAGCCTTCGACGTGTCTCCTGCCTTCTGCGGGTCGGCTCTAAGCGCCAGTCGGGGCGCGCGTCCAGCTTTATCTGCCTCGTCCGGGTCTCGAGACGGAACGTCTGGGGAAGCTGATGCCGGGGCGTCAGTAGGTCCTGCGGTCTTGCGATGGTCTGGCCTCCTCTCTTTGGTGACGTGGTCGTGAAGCTGCTTGTTGAGCAACCTAGCCATAGCTTTGTTTTGCCGAGACAAGATTACCCTCTGGTAATAGCCGGCTGGATCAGCCAAGTCCCAGACACGAGGAAACTGGAAGTTTGCCTGACCTGTTGAGCTAGGAGAGAGCGCGATCAGCTTGAGGTCCTCAAGTCTTGGGTTCTCAGTTCTTAGCTTAGCACACAGGCGACGCCGGCTCTCACGGATTTCCTCACACCACACCGCTGTCATCTCCTCAAAGAGCTGCACACAGTAAGTAAAGGGAAAGGCGTTTTTATCTTCTTCATGAGCTTCTCGAAGGGCCTGCAAGAACTTTGACCTCTCCGTGTTCAAGCCCATACGCGCTTCCAAAAACCTTTATCGAGTTCTCCGCGTACCGGAGCCAAGTTAAAAAGGTAGTTGGGGGCCTTAATACGAGCTTCGATCTTATGCTCGGTCGGTGGCGACCAATTTTCGGTTTGCTCTACCCTGGCGGTGGCACAGTCTGACGCTAAAGGGTGAAATTCTCAGTTCCACCCCACCACAGACCTGCAATGGACAAAGCGACGCGATTGGTGATCAGCACTGGCCATTTGATCAAACCCAGTTCGTGCTTGGCGTGAAGGCCGGCCCGCTTGATGCTGTGGAAAAGCTCCTTCCCATAAACTCCTTTGCAGAGCTCAACTGAAAGTTGACCACAACCCCGAGCCAGGAAAACGTCCAGCTTCTCACCTTCTTTGATTGAACTGACCTGGCCCTTAGTTCCTGTCTTATCCTCGTCCTGTGCTTTGCGAAGCCCATCAATGGCGTGGATAATCCGGTCGGTAGCTAGAGCAGGGTTGCTGGGACCAAGTTGCTCCCCAAAGGAGGCACCTGCTTTACGCACCAAACCCTGTCCAAGACCGAGCGAAGTAGGCTGTGCTGCGAGAGCACCCGCGGCTGCACTCACAAGCCCAGGTCGGGCATCTTGCCCAGTGGTTGGGAACAACTGCGCCACAACATTGGGCGGACCGCCTCCATGGGTGAGAAGTTGATTCTCGGGCGGTGCTACCCGGGTCTGGACCAGACTCACATCCTGGGCAAGTCCGGGTGGCAATGGCGGAGGAGAAGCCTGGACTCCTGTCAAGTTGGGGCGAACCTCAGGCCATGCAAAGGGGTCGCTGGTGGGTCCTGATGATTCCCCTCCTCCCCTCGTGTGCCTTCCTGCAAAGCATTAAATTTCCCTCATGAGTCCGTTTTGACCGTTTCAGCCGACTGCGGTACGACAAGGCTTTTGTGCTTGAAGTGAAAGAGTGCAGTGTTTTTGCACTCACGGAGCTGGGCGCGAACGTCGCTGTTGTTCCGGAGGTTATTGCGGAGCCAAGCGTTACGGCTAACGCG